CAGTATCGATGAGAGGAAGTTACCAGGAGACAGCTTGTCACTCAGGGGAAGAGAGTTTCCAAATGGAGAAGTCAAAAATGGTGTTGACTTCCTTGTCATGTCCCAGTGCTCCTTCCCATAGTGCAACTTATGGGGATGGATCATTTATCCAAGATTTCTCAGGGCCAATAATTTTTTGTGATTATTTGAATTCAAGGTGATTTGTTAAATTTATAACAAAGTATAATTTGATGTTGGCCCCTGTTTATTTATTTATTTATTTTTTATTTTTTTAAAATATATTTTATTGATTTTGTACAGAGAGGAAGGGAGAGAGATAGAAAGCTAGAAACATCGATGAGAGAGAGTCATCCATCAGCTGCCTCCTGCACACCCCCCACCGGGGATATACCGGCAACCAAGGCACATGCCCTTGACCGGAATCGAACCCGGGTCCCTTCAGTCCCCAAGCCGATGCTCTATCCATTGAGCCAAACCAGTCTCGGCGATGTTGGCCCCTGTTTAACTAATTATTGGTTTGAAAACAATGGAAGATTACTATATTACCAATTGGTGGGAGTTCAGATTCAAAGGGTTTCCAGCTGTCAGAATCTGTGATTAATAGGATGTTGGTGATGATTTAATATGAGGAAGTGCACAAGAATCAAATAGAGAGCTCTGTTTCCAGGTTCTACCATTGAGCAATGTTAGCTTTGGCTCAACAGATAATGCCCAAACTCTGAGATCTATTGAACTCACTGAAAGGGCAAGAGAGAGCCGAAATCGGTGTGGCTCAGTGGATAGAGCATCGGCCTGCAGACTGAAAGGTCCCAGGTTCAATTCCGGTCAAGGGCATGTACTTTGGTTGTGGGCACTTCCCAGTGGGGGTGTGTGCAAGAGGCAGCTGATTAATGATTCTCTCTCATCGATGTTTCTAACTCTCTATCCCTCTCTCTTCCTCTCTGTAAAAAATCGATAAAATATATATTTAAAAAATAAATAAAAATAAATAAAATAAAATAAAAGCCAAGAGAGAGCAATCAGGAGCAGAGTGAGGTTCATATGTTGACACTCACTGTGTATTTTACTTATTGATTCCAGAGAGGAAAGAAGAGAGATAGAGAGACAGAAACATCAATGATGAGAATTATTGATTGGCTGCCTCCTGGCATGTGCTCTTGACCAGAACCAAAGCCAGGGCCCTTCAGTTTGCAGACTGATAATCTATCCACTGAGCCAAACCAGCTAGGACTCACCTTGTGCTTGAGTGACTAAATATATTTGCACCTCATTGTTACAATGCACTAATTTTCTAATTAGTTAATAACTAGCACTATTTTTTTTTTAATATAAAAGAGCTCCTACAGATCAATAAGAAAAGGACCTAAATGAAAAGTCAGCAAAAGAAATGTATACACAGCATGGAACCAAAAACATAACCTCTTATACTTTTGAAAAGGTGCTGATATTAATAATAAAAAACATCTATTTAAAAGTCACAGTGAGAACTACTTCACACTCATTGGAATGATACAAAAAACCCACATACACACAGAAAATAAATGTTGTCAAGGATATGGTGACATTGGAATTCGTGCACTATTAATGTAAATGGTGCAGCTGCTATAGTAAACAGTATAGCAGTTCTTTAAAACAAAACAACTTTAAGTGTGACTCAGTAATTCCACTTCTGAATATATGCCCAAAATAAATGAGATATTTATGTATCCATGTTTGTGACAGCATTACTCATAGTCTCCAACAGGTAGAAGCAACTCAAGTTATCTTATACTCTGCCACATATGTGATTTGACATATGATCAAGGTTTCCTCACTGCAACATGACTGGAAACAACATAAATAGCCATTGAAAGGGGCTGGAAAAATAAATTATTACCATCCAATATATGCAGCTGTTATTATGATACACAGTATGTGCTGACATAGAACAATCTCCAAGTAGTGGTTAGTGTGTATAAGTATGTATACTGTGCTACCAGGTGTTTAAAAATAAATTGGAAAAAATGTTAGTTTGTTTTTCCTAAAATAATTACAAGTAGAGGCAAGAAACTGCTAATAGGTAACAGTGGTCACTTCAGTTATGTCTACGGAGGAAAACTAGAGAGCTAAGGGACAGGGTTGGGAGAGAGACTTGCCTTCCACTAGTTATCACCTTTTAAATTTAATACCATATGCAGGTATGATGTATTCAAAAATTTTTTTAATTAAATAAAAAGAAAGTCAGCCCTAACTGGTTTGTCTCAGTGGATAGAGCATCGGCCTGCGAACTGAAAGGTCCCAGGTTCGATTCCAGTCAAGTGCATGTATCTTGGTTGCGGGCACATCCCCAGTAGGAGGTAAGCAGGAATGAGGCAGCTGATCAATGTTTCTCTCTCGTCGATGTTTTTTCTAACTCTCTATCCCTCTCCCTTCCTCTATGTAAAAAATCAATAAAATATATATTTTTTTAAAAAAGAAAAAGAGAGGTCACTCTGGCCAGTGTTGCTCAGTACAGTGTCAGCCTGCTCACTGTAGAGTCTCGGGTTGGATTCCCGCACAAGGACACATACCTGGGTTGCAGGTTTATCCCCAGCCCTGGTCGGGGCACATTCAGGAGGCAACCAATCAATGTGTCATGTGTCTTGCATTGATCTCTCTCTCTCTCTCTCTCTCTCTCTCTCTCTCTCTCTCTCTCTCTCTCTCTTTCTTTCCCCCTCTTTCCCTCTCTCTTCCTCCCTTCCTCTCTCCCTCCCTCCTTCCCTTCAACCCTTCAAATCAATGGAAAAAATATCCTTGTGGGAGGATTAACGAAAATAAATAAATTGATTGATCAATAGGTAGATAAAAAGAGAGATTGCAATGCATTCATATAAGCATAATCAATGGGCACACACAGTAGGGGGGTGAGGGCTGTGCTAGGCAGTGGGAGCGGATGGGAAGAGGTCAATGAGGGGGAAAAGGAAACATATGTAATACTTTCAACAATAAATAATTTTTTAAAATAAATAAAAAGAAAGGTACCTGTGGACAAGGGGAAAAAACACAGAATAGACACTTTGAGCTCAAAGCCCTGTGCTCAGTGCCATGGGGACAGAGGAAAGGTAGCTCCCATAGCCTGAAGGGATAGGCCATAGCTGCTATCCACCCTCAAGGAAGAACTTTCTGCTACTGAATCAGGAATAGTTGTGCACATTTTCCTAAGCATTGGTTTGATTGTATCTTCTAGACCAGTGGTCGGCAAACTCATTAGTCAACAGAGCCAAATATCAACAGTACAACGATTGAAATTTCTTTTGAGAGCCAAATTTTTTAAACTTAAACTTCTTCTAATGCCACTTCTTCAAAATAGCCTTGCCCAGGCCCTGGTACTTCGGTGGAAGAGCCACACTCAAGGGGCCAAAGAGCCGCATGTGGCTCTCGAGCCGCAGTTTGCCGACCACGGATCTAGATAGATCTATAAATAAATTCACCAGTTAGGTTTTCCTTTCACTTTGGCCGTTGAACACTATAAGCCAAATTCCTGACCTGCCACTATGCAGCGTGGGCAGATTTCTCTGGTAAGCATTTAGCACTGGCCTTGTACTTGGATCCACTGTATATTTCTGCACTTGGTTTTCTTTTCACCTCTTTCTAATGCTCATCTTTCCTTATTCTATGCTTCCCTGTAAGCCACTCTATAGCCTTTTTGGTCTAAGTTGGGATAAGTGGGTGAGTGCAGAAATGGGGAGGGAGTGAGGGGAAGAAAGAGGAGATAGAGGTTATAAAGCAGTGCCTATCAATTTTATTGGCTCCGTCATGTAGATTCAGTGAATGCTGTAGCGCCATTGTTCTCAGAGTGGGGTTCTCAGACCAAGCAGCAGCATCGTCATCATCATCTGTGAGTTTGTTATACCTGGGTCTTCGCCCAACCTACTGAATCAGAATCTTTGTGGATGAGGCCCAGAAAACTGCTTTCACATAATCTCCCTGATAATTTGTATGCACATTAAAGTTTGAGAAGCACAGGGAAACAAAAGGAATGTTGATTTCTAAACATAAATACTTTCCATTTGCCCCATCATATCCTTTGCATTGGCCAAGTAATGCTAGCCACTACAATAAATAATGTCAAAAATTTTATTAGCTTTCTACAGTAAAAAAATATATATTGTTTTTTTTTTGCTTGTGTCACAGTCCAGTATGGATCACTGTGGGGTGGAGAAAGCTGTCTTGTTAATTTGTTCAGCCAAACAGCGTCCTTTCACAGTGAGGCTTTGCCATCCTCTACTACACCAAACATGTCAAACTCAAAGGCTAGCACGGCCCAAATGAACAAGGTTTACATTTATGTGGGCCACAAAAACACACACTCACACACACACACACACACACACACACACACACAAGCTTCAATTTTCATAAAAACATACATTTATTTCAATAGAGACATGCTGAATACAAAGGGCTGAAATAAACAAGTTATGAGTATTTGTTGTGGGCCACGTGCGGCCCGCGGGCCCCAAGTTTCACATTCTTGCTCTATACCCTTGGACTCCTCCTCTGGATCCTCTGCATTCAGGAAGGCAAGGGAGTGGTGGGTCTGAAAGTAACACCGACTTTTCTGTCCACAGTTCCACTGGCCAGAACCCAAAGCCATGAGAAGCTAGGAAATAGGTGTATCTGTGGAGCTATGGCCATGGTCGGCAAACTGCAGCTCACGAGCCACATGCAGCTCTTTGGTCCCTTGAGTGTGGCTCTTCCACAAAATACCATGGCCTGGGAGAATCTATTTTGAAAACATGGCATTAGAAGAAGTTTAAGTTTAAAAAATTTGGCTCTCAAAAGAATTTTCAATCGTTATACTGTTGATATTTGGCTCTGTTGACTAATGAGTTTGCCGACCTAGGGGGAAAAGGAAATAGCTTTGGTAAACCATCTCTACCCCACACTCATGGACCTAAGTGAATCTCATACTTCACTTGTCATGTTTTGTTTTTGTTTTATCTTTTTAATCATGTTTTATCTTTTCTTTTTAACTCCAGCACTATGGGACTGAGTACCACTGTCTTAGTGATGGCCTTCCTGCTCTCTGGTAAGAACCTTTGGTTTTATAAAGTCCTAGAATCCTTCCATTGTTTTAAGTCTGACAGATGCAAGCCCAGGCCTGAAATGAGGTGGGTTGTACTCATTTTCTACCCTGTGTTGTACAACATCACAGGCAAAAAAAAAAAAAAACTGGTGGAGAAGAAGGAACCATCAAGATTGAGAACAGGTATCTCAGCTGATGGCAGGCCTGGCCTCAGATGGAGCCCTATTTCTCCTGCGCATCCTTCTTTTCCATCTCACAAAGGAGAGTAGATTCTCCTGTCCAGTGGCACCTAGGGAGCAAAGAGAAGTCTGCTCTGATATCCCTTTTGCTCCACACATTCTCCTTTCTGGTATTCTCTGTTTCATTTCTGGAAGTCTCGGGCTTTTAGGAAACAGCTCATGGGCTTCTAAAAGCCTCCTTTCATTAAGGAGCATTGCTTTCCATGTTCCATACCTTTCCTCTCTTCCTCCTCTACCTCCCCCACCAGCCCATACCCATAGGTCATGGTAGCCACTGCTTACTGGGAGAATAAAAACCCAGCCCTGCTACTACCTACTTCAGTGACCTTCAGCTAATTGTATCAGCTGATTTACTATGACGCTAATGAAGCTGAGCTGCAGGGTTTCTCACTCAAGCTCTATCCAAAACCCCTTCAAGATCCCATGAGGGGCCTTACCAATATGGTCACATGTCTTTTGCTTTGGTAAAATTTTCAAAGGATATCTTACCCACAATAAGTCAAGAACACTGCCTTTCTTTATTGCGACTTTTCTCTCCATCTCATTCTCTGCCGGGTGGCAGGTATTATACTGGCCGTGGGCATTTTGAACTTGAATTCTGCATTTCTTAAAGAGCTCCCTGCCCCCAAAAAAGGAATTTTAAAAGTGTCTGTGTTTCACAGAAATAGGATCTTCCCTGTTTATAGCTCCACTCTGAGTTTCAATTTCTTCATCTGTTAATGAGTTGGTGGTTTCCTGCCACCCTGTGACTGGATGCCGTTAGTGTCCACTGCCCTGCCCCTTTCAGCTGCTCAATTACACCACCCTCAGCACAGAGAGGGAGCCCTCTCACACACCCAAATGGTGTGGGGTAGACAGGGAGGGGGGGCTGAGCCTGCACTTTGGCCACAGCAGCAACAGGCCACTCCTGACTCCCCAGCCCAGCCATGAGCTCAGCTCTGCCTGTGGTAGTTCTAGATCTCCTCAGCCCCACTTGGCAGACCCTCTTTGGTTGTTTTCTCTTCAGCCACACCTGTGCAGACCCTCCTTAGGTGTTTCTCCTCAGCCACACCTGTGCATGCCCTCTGGGTTTTGTCAACAGATGATTGGTTACTGACAGCAGCAAGTGGGGAAATCATTCACTGAGACAGAGGACAGGGAAGTGTGAAGGGGAGAAAGAGTAGCTATGGATATCTGAAAAGCAGTATCCAGTAGGCAATTAGATATGGATGTCTGGAACTCTAGTGAAAGTTATTGGTTGGAGATAAGCATATTGAATTATTAGTTTATATACACTGAGTGGCCAGATTATTATGATCTCTGAATGCATAATAATCTGGCCACTCAGAATATATATATTTATTTATTTTAGAGGCCTGGTGCATTAATTCATGCATGGGTGGACAGGCCAGCCTGGCCAGGGGGAGGGGACATGGGTAGTTGGCTGGCCTGCCTGCTGGTTGAACTGCTGATTGAGGGGATAATTTGCATATTAACCTTTTATTATATAGGATATACACTGAGTGGCCAGATTATTATGCTTTCAGAGATCATAATAATCTGACTACTCAGTGTATTTGGTAGATGAATCATGTGTATTTGTCCTCATGAATTTTCTTTTACTAAAGAAAAGCTAGAAAAAGTGTAAAGAGTAAGGAGATCAAGAGCAGGCACTCAAGATAATCAGTGATCAGAGAAAACTGACCAGATCAGAGATTGGGAAAGAATAGTTTCAAGGAGAGATGACCAGCAATGTGATGGTCAACAGAGTGGTCAAATAAAGTGAGATATGAAAAGAGCTCTGAATTTAGCAATGGTAGGAAGTCACTAACAATCTTTGCCAGGGAAGTTTTGGCAGAGAAGTGGGGGACAGAGGTTGGAAATGAAAGCAGCAACTGCTGCTTACTCTTTCAGGGAGTTTGACTATAAAAGAAAAAGAAATTAAAAGTAGTAACAGAGGGAACTGTTGTAAGGAAGGGAGAGGATTGTAAGCAGGGTGAGCAGCTCAGAGGCCAAGTTAAATGGGATAAAATTTATAATGTGACCAGTTCAAATAATTGAATAATTTCCTTCAGGGGTGCTCAAACATTCAGTTGTAAGAAAAGATATGTAGATCAAAAGTACAGTGTTTTTAGGATGAATTCTGCACAAAGGGGCAAGTTTATTGGAGTTGCTGGCAAAAGAATAATTGAGCCCTAGCTGGTTTGGCTCAGTGGGTAGAGGGTCGGCCTTCAGCCTGAAGTGTCCTAGGTTCATTTCCAGTCAAGGGCATGTACCTCGGTTGCAGGCTCCATCTCCGTGCATGTGGAAGGCAATCAATTGATGTGCCTCTCTCACATAGATGTTTCTGTGTGTGTGTGTCTCTCACACTCTTTTCTATTCTCTCTAAAAAATCAATGGGGGAAATATCCTTGGGTGAGGATAACAGAGGAGGGGCGATCGGGGGAGAGGGAAAGGGAGAGGAAGAGGAAGAGGGAGAGGGAGAGCATGATTGAAAAGATATAATGTCGCCCTGACCGGTTTGGCTAGTGGATAGAGCATCGGCCTTCAGACTGAAGGGTCCCAGGTTTGATTCTGGTCAAGGGCCTGTACCTTGGTTGCGGGCACATGCCCAGTAGGAGGTGTGCAGGAGACAGCTGATAGATGTTTCTCTCTCATCAATGTTTTTAACTCTCTATCCCTCTCCTTTCCTCTCTGTAAAAAAATCAATTATATATATATATATTTAAAAAGATATACTGTCACTTTGCTGTCCAATATGATAGCAATTAGCCACATGTGGCTATTTAAATTAGTTAGAATTAAATAAGATTAAAAATTCAGTTTTCAGTCACACTAGCAACATATCAAGTGCTCAGTGGCTCAGTGATAGTGGCTGGTGACTGCCATATTAGTCAGCACAGATATAGTACTTTCCATTGTTGCAGGGCTCTTTTGGAAAGCACTGAGCTATAGGGTCTAGACTGGTTGGAGTTGAGGTCTTGGTGAAGTAAAAATCAGATATAGGTGAAGTAATTGAGCAAATCTTAGAGGAAGAAATGCTGTGGACAGAGATAGGTACATTGATGTTTAAGGTTCTTAGAGCCGAGCTGTTCTTGGAAATGAGGTTTAGAGTTATGTCATGGGAGAGGGGGCTGCTAAAATAATCTGTGGATGAAGATCTTTGAAGTGGAAAAGATCAAAGAACTTTTTAGCAAGTGTGTTGGTGAACTCGTCCTTGCTGAAGTCACTCAAATTGATAGTAATAATTAATTGAAAAGAAAGATCTGTATAGGATGCTAAAATGCACGGTGAACAAGGAAGTAATGATGTTGCTGTTAGCAGCTGACAGCAATGAGACACAGGGGCACCTCAAAGGGGAAGGGTGTTGTTGCTCAAGGTCTCCATGAAGTATGCCAAAAGAAGCAGTGGCTGGGACAAATGACGTCCTTTGGGTAGGGCCAGAGTTCAATGAAAGCACAACCTTGGAGGAAACATTTGATGAAGATTGAAGATATAGTTTACTACAGTGGAATGAAGCTTCCAGAGGGCCTCATACAGGGCGTGGCAAAAGTAGGTTCACAGTTGTGAGTACATGAGACAGTTTGTTCTTGTATTAATTTTTAACTAGAGGCCTGGGGCACGAATTCATGCACGTGTGGGATCAGGCCAGCCAGCGCTGATTGGGCTGATGGGGGTGGGGCCAGCTGGGGGAAGGGGCTCCGAGTGGTTGGCTGGCGGCCCCACCCTCTGGTCAAACTCCCAGTCGAATTTCTGGTTGACGGGACAATTTGCATATTAGCCTTTTATTAGATAGGATGTCTTATTTTCCATACCAACAACTATAAACCTACTTTTGCCCCACCCTTCATAACATTGAAGGAAGTTTAGTAAATGGAGAAAAATTACTGAGTACAGATGATCCTTGACTATGTAAGACATGCATTTGGGGTAGTAGGCAGGGAATAATGAAGTCCCACATGGGGTCAGAGACCTCTCCGGTTAGAAGACTATAGTTTTTGTGTGATAGTCAAACAGCACACTGCTGAGGAAGTTCTCGTGTGTCTTTTGAAACAAACTCCTTTAGCTGTTTAGGGAGGTATCTAGATGGATTCTTGAGTGCCTAGCTCCTGACATCATCCTAGCAGCCAGTTATGTCTAGACCCAAAACACATCTATCACCCACGTGCTGGAGAAGGCGAGAACCTCAGTGCTTTCCCACCAACGGAGTCTTAGTGAGTCCGGGAGCTGTGTGGTCTAGGATTTTGGATCTTAACAGGGGATGCCTGAAGCCACTTAGGGAAAATAGACGTTTAGCTAAATCTTTCCCATATTGTAAGAGAGGGGCTTCGCATGCCTAGCTCTACGTGATGTCATGGAAGACAGTGGTTGGTGAGGAACTGTGGAGTGAAAATTGTGAAATACTTTTAGTTCCACCCAGAATGGGCTTCAGAGTGATTTCCATTCCAGAGTAGGAAAGAGGGTTTGGATGGAAACAAACATTCTTGTCATAATCTCCTCTGTTTTACTCAGAGACAGAGGTAGAAACCCATTATTGCAGCTTCTCAAACTGGAGGTTTTTTTCCCCCCCTAAATATATTTTTATTTATATCATAGATAGGAAGAGAGAAGCAGGGAGATAGAAACATTAATGATGAAAGAGAATCATTGATCAGCTGCCTCCTGCATGCCCCCTACTTTGAATTGAGCTTGCAAGCTTGGCTTGTGTCCTGAGTAGGAATTAAACCTTAACCTCTTCGTTCATTGGCCGATGCTCAACCACTGAGTCATACTGACCGGGCTCAAACTGGAGCTTTTATTAAAATGCAGAATATGGCTTAGTAGGTCTGGGTGGGGCCAGAATATGTGCATTTCTGACCAGCCTTCCCTGATGCTGATCTCTTTAGAACATAGGCCACACCTTTGGCTGGTAGGTGAAGAGGGGAGCAGTTAGACATATGGATGAAAAAGCCCTTTTAATCTTTTGGAGAGGTGTCCTGGGTCAGAGAAGTTGGACTGATTTGTGAGTGAAGGGAGTGGTTGGGAAGAAGAAAAAGTTCAACAGAGAAACAACCGAAAATCAAAAAAGCAGAAGCCTAAGGTTAAGTCAACTCCAGGCCCAGTAGGCACAATTGATCACCCACAAAAGGTAACGTTGACCACTAACTGGCAGAATTTCCAACCGTGTTTGGTTTCTCTGTTAGGGCATTTGCCCTGTATCATTTGGCAAGTCACTGATGTAACACAGTGATAGCTGCTAGAAGCTTTTACAGTAGGTGGCACTCTTACCTTATCTTTTGGATTTTAGCAAAGAAGGAGCAGGAGCCTCAAGGTTGATTTGTAAGATGATTACTCAATATAGTAAATCTTTAAGGCCTCTTTTTATTATTGTTTCAGGTTCCCAGGTAGGTTTTTCCACTTCCCTCCAATATGGGAATATATTCTATATGGATCCTGCATTTGTATACTTACAAGAGGTTCACAGATTTTACTGAGCAGAATGTAATAGATGGTTATTCAAATTTGTGCCAGCTCTCACTGATGTCTAGAGTCCTCTTCCCTTCAAATTTAAGACCACTGCAAACCCCCTTGATTATTTGTTCTCACTGGGCCATTCTGCACACAGTCCAATTTTGCCAAGTGCATGTCATTGTTATTTGCCCTTCTACTTTCTCTTGGAAGAGAAACCCATGGATCAGATCATTTTAACTTCTCCTACCAGCCCTCAACGAACACCTCAAATGAAACTACTCTTCTTTCTCTCACCAGCCCAACTCACTTTCCTCCTTAATATAGTCCTAAACAATGGAGCTTTACTTAAAACTCACCTTAATTTTCTCTCCAAGGTGGAAGCTAACTTCATATTAACTAAGAAACAGCATTTCCTCCCAACCCTGCAATTCTCACCCACCACTAATTTCTTGGCCATGTCTGAAATAATTCTGTGACCCAGAGTAGGTCCTACAAAAACCCTATAATCAATCACCTTTTTTTTAAAAAAAATATTTTTAATTACAGTTTACATTCAATATTATTTTATATTAGTTTCAGGTTAGACAATCATATACTTTACAAAGTGTCCCCCTGATATTTCAAGTACTTGGCACCATACATAATTATTACAATATATAATCAATTACACAAAATTCCTTCCACAAACTTCAAATGTCCTTGGGGAGGAAGCCCTTTCTCTGAACTCTCCCAGCTTGTCCTCCAGGGGTTGCAAAAACTGCCAGAACAGTGCATCCTGGGAAGAGCAAGTATATAGTAATTTGGGTTTCCCCAATACTCCAAAAAGCTCATTCTCACCTTCCCATCTATAATTCATTTTTAGTCTTTCATTCATTACCTCAAATAGTCTTTGACTACCACAACCCCAAATAGCTATCGCATTTGCTCAGTTATCTTTCTGATCCCTGAAAGAGCTTAGAGAGGTCAGAGATTAGAAGCCCTGGTTGACTATTTATGTCATTTCCAAACTGTACTGTATCCTTGGAAGAGCTGGCCATTAAATATGCAGTCATAAGGGAAGCTCTATATAGGCTAAGGAATAAGGGGATGGGGAGAAAAAGGGAGCATTTTTAGTGATAGTGTAGAAGTAATGGGGGCTGTAACAGCTATAGTGAATTAGTGTTCAGGTTATAGGAAGGTAACAGATGGACGAATGAGTTGTCCAACTGCTGGTTTTCCCTGTTCTAGGATTTAAATTCATAGACCCATAGTACTGGACAGATTCTTAGAACGTTTGATTCACTTCTTCATTAAAAAGAAAAAAACTGAGCCTCATAGTAAATGAAGTTTACACACGGCCACACAGATTTAGTTAGCAATAGAGTGAGAACAAAAATCCCATCCTCCAGATGCCAACACGTATGCAACTGTCCCAGAGTTTAACATCTAGTTCCTCGATCTCGTTTCTGATAAGGTAGCATCTGGGTATTAAACAAAGAAAAATGGAGTTGTTGCTGTTGTTCTTCCCTCTTGTTTCTCCTTCCCCAATAGCCACCTTTTTTTTTTTTTTTAGGTGCTGCTTCCATGGAGAGGCAGGCATATTTCAACAAGACTGGAGACCTTCCATGTGAGTTTGTAAACTCTGAAGAGATAAGCCTGGCTGACCTGGTGGTATTTTGGCAACACGAGAAAAAGATGGTTCTTTATGAACTATACAGAGGCCAAGAGAAACCTCAAAATGTTAATGCCATCTACAAGAATCGCACAAGCTTGGACCAGTATAATTTGACCTTGCGACTCCACAATGTTCAAATCAAGGACAAGGGATTGTATCAATGTTTCATCCATCATTTCAAAGAGTCCCAAGGAATGATTCCCATCCACCAAAAGGATATCAACCTATCAGTGCTTGGTATGTTGTCAATGGCATATCCAGTTCCCTGGCCTTTTAGATGAGACTGCAATAATCAGGGAAACACTGGTGGGGGTCAGGGGTGACCTAGAGAGAGAAGGCAAGGGACAGTCATTTCTGGGAAGTCCACTTGAAGGTAATGCAGGGTTTGGGAGTAGGGAACTAGAAGTCCTTTACACTTTTTATAGTTTGCCTCTGAAGGATCAGTAAGAATCCACTTTGGGAACAAAATTAGCTAACTAAACAGAAGTATTGTGGCTAAGTGAAAACCATGGGTAATTTTTCCATTACTAAGTTTATATATCACATAGACCTCAAATCTCTTTTACATTCATTTTCTCCTTTGGTCCAAGATTTCTTACCCCCTGAATCCTTGCCTGTAGCTCCTAGTGAGGGTGGCAGCTAATTAATTTGGGTTTTCCCTTCAACCTTCCAGAGATTGTTTATGAGTTGTTTGCTGCCCAACCATGAGCCTGGCAGACAGAAGGGAAATTGCCCAACCATGAGCCTGGTAGACAGAAAGGAAATAACCCAATGCATAGAGTTTAAAAACTAGTAAACCAGCTCCTTTGTTCCTCCAGGCCTTGAAGAACCTAAATGTCAATATAGATTTTTAAAAAATTATAATACAATAAAATGTGTTGTTTTTAATTTTTTAAAATATATTATTATTGATTTCAGAGAGGAAAGAAGAGGTAGGGAGAGATAGAAACAGCAATGATGAGAGAGAATCATTGATTGGCTGCCTCCAACATGCCCCATATTGGGGATCGAGCCTGCAACCAGGTCATGTGTCCTGACAGGAAATGGATCCATGACATCATGGTTCATAGGTTGATGCTCAACCACTGAGCCATGCTGACTGGGCATAGACACAGATTAATTTTTTATTAAACTGAAAAAGGCAGATTAACAACAATTCTGAAACCAGAGTAAAGCAAAGTAAAAATAGAATTAGAATGGGAAGTTGCTCCCTTTAATCCCTGTGTCACCAACTGGGCTGTAGGGCTTTGGGGACATGTAACCAAATGCTACAGTGATGCTTTCAAAGTGTGGTCAGGTTCTATAGAGAAACATGGTGTGTTTTAGGTGGGACACAGACATTCATGTTTTAAAATATATATCTTTATTGATTTTAGAGAGGGGGAGGGAGACAGAGAAGCATCAATGATGAGAGGGAATCATTGATTGGCTGCCTCCTGCATGCCTCCTACTGGGGATCAAGCCCTCAACCCTAGCATGTGCCCTTGACCGGAATCAAACCTGGGGCACTCTGCAGGCCAATGCTCTATCCATTGAGCCAAATGGTTTATATTATTTTAATATGGCTTTATATTATTTTAATATGTACTAGAAAAACTAATAAAACCTATAATTTCATAGATATTGCTAATAAGGCTACAGTAGGTGTACCATGGCATTCCACCTTTGATAGACCACATATAGTTACAAGCAGAATGCTTAAGTAGTGTGTTGATATAGCAGAACTTGTAGTATGGCATGCAAATCAGAGACATATGCTAAAGTATACATTAGTATGTAGAACCTGAAAATGACCTCATAACTCTTGAAGGAGAGTGAGTTATTTTTCTGGCAGAAGGAATAGGTGCCAGCATTCCTCAACAGCCATAAAAATCTGAATGGTAAACAAGGCAAGAGAAGCTCTGTGTTTATTAACAGCATATATTTTTTCCTAAAAATAGCTGGGTTTGCCCTTCATCTTAAAGTATATGATGAAGATACTTTGACAGTCCTTCCCAAAATCAGTATTCTAAATCTAAAGTCCCCACCCACTCACTTCCCACCATCCTATGTGGATTTCTGGAAAATAAGGCCCAGAGAAAAACCAGCACCCAGAACTCTGTTGATTCCTAGTGGAACTTTAACCTCAATCCCATTCTGTTCTCTTGGTCTGGTGACCTGAACATATTCCATGGGACACTTAGGTCCTAAAGTCAGACCACTTCTCCTTCCAAAGACTTTATTCCTTAGAGAAATGGCCTCATTATAACTTTTTTTAATTTTTGTTAATCTTCACCCAAGAATATGTTCCCATTGATTTATAGAGAGAGTAGAAGGGAGGGAGGGAGACACACAGAGAGAAACATCGATGTGGAAGAGACACATAAAATGGTTGACTCTTGCATGCACCCCAACCCGGGCCAGGGATCAAGCCTGCAACAGAGGTACATGCCCTTGACCAGAATCGAACTCTGGATGGGCTGACACTCTCCACTGAGCCAAACCAGCTAGGGCTCATTATAAAATTTTGATTATTTAAATTTAGTCCTCCTATCACTCAGACAGCATTGCCTTGATTTGGGGAAACAGAAAGTAAGCATGGTCCCAAACTCAATTCTTAAAAATTCAATATGGGGCCTTTATGTGGCTCTCACCATGGTCTGAGAACCATGCATGAGGCACTCTGGGGCTCTGAGATGGGCCCCCTGAGAGTTCACAGAACAGGTACCTAGCCATTTGCTATTCTCTTCTAAATGCTCTTAAATTTTGATTGACTTTTCTCTCTCTCTCTGTATCTCTATTCTGATTTCAGCGAACTTCAGTCAACCTGAAATAATGCTAATTTCTAATAGAACAGAAAATTCAAACATAAATATGACCTGCTCATCTGTACAAGGTTACCCAAAACCTAAGAAGATGTATTTTCTGCTAAAAACCATAAATTCAACATACGAGTATGATGCTGACATGAAAATAATCCAAGATGATGACACAGGACTATACAATGTTTCTATCAGCTTGTCTTTTCTGGTGTTTCCTGAAACAAATACGAGCATCTTCTGTGTCCTGCAACCCGAGTCAACCCAGATACAGCTTCTTTCCCAACCTTACAATATAGGTAAGGCTTCTCCCCAAGACAATGTCTTTTACCAGGAATTATATACAAATGCTATGGCAGATCATCAATGTCCCAGGAAACCTCCAACTGAGCCATTTTATACTGACAGAGGTCGTCTGAGTGCTGCAAGGTCCAGGACGCTATGAATCTACAGCCACCTTTGTGAACCTATGCTGCACTGGAGGAAGCATGTTCTTACGTCCTGACACTAACCCCGTCTTTTGGGCTACCTTTGGATAGACAATTCTGAAGTTTAGGTCAGAAAATGCAAGATTTCTCCAGGCTAGAATTCTATCATTCATTAAAATACACACAATACCCCCCCCCCACACCGACCCGTCACCCCCAAAACACACACCAGGCATATACATACATATAGCACTTGTTGTGAATATAGAACCATTCTAGAAATTCTTGGTTGCAAAGATGAAAACTAAAAGGTATGAGATATGCTCTCTGTCCTCAAAGACCTCCCAATAGAATTAAAAGTCTGTGATGTAGACACATGAAAATCTGCATTTTTAAAAAGATTGGATTGGAATCTAAATTATATTCCATAGAAATAAGTTGTAAGATTAAAAACTAAAGTGATGTAATTAGTTTTACAAGCAATCAGATATAGGCAAGTTCTTGAGGGTCAGGGGAAGTCTTTTTGAAGGAGGTGAGATCTTGTAACACAACAAAAGAAAGAACTGGTGGTGAGGTGATGACAGGTGAGGACCACAATGGACTAGCAGTATCCAACGTGGGCGCAAAAGGTAACGTACATATATGTCAAGGAAAGACACAGAAGCAGAAATTCTCTTGGCCTGTTGACAGTGCAGTATGGAGACCAGTCCAGCTGGAGGAATGCATTGAGACTAAGCAGTGTCCACGAATAGGAGTCTGCCATTTTAAAGTCATGACTTTGCACTTGAGGGAATGCGTCCATATTTGAAACCCCACTTTTGAAGAGCAGTGACCGCAAGATTCTTTCCTGGAATAGAGGCATTCTTCTCCCACACTGACTCCATCACTGCTGGTTCTGATGCTGACCCTTCCCCAACCTATCTGCCTTCTGCTTGCCTTGGCCCCTTCTCCAACTCTGGCCCCATGCTTTGTCTTTTCCTAAGTCATCCATTCAACTCCTAGATCCATCCTCTGGCTTTGCTGCCTTCTTATCCTGATGTCTTCTTATTCAAAGGTATTTTGGCCTATGGACATATTCTTTTGTGCAGCCTCTGGGGCCTGTTCCTACCAGCCAACTTCACCAATAGGCCAATTCTCTCTCCTGGTATGGTCTTTCTCCACTCAGGCACTTCCCCCTCTGAGAATCCAGTAAATGGTGTGGGACACATGGCAGAGGTCCCCAAGCCTGTCCTGGTTGTTTCTACTGTAGCCTGATATAGGCCTCTCCAAGCCACCTCTGAAGTTCAACACCTTGTTGGAGTCCCTAATATCATCACACATGACATGCTCTGGGGCCCTCTGCCAGGGCTCCCACAGTCGACAAATGAATAGGGCCTCATCATGACTCACTTTCTCTGCTTCTCAGCTACTGCTGAAACCTTCCAAGCTACTACCATCTTCAGAAACTTTCAGCTCCAGCTGCCTCAGGAAGCGAGGGCTGGCCTCTCCATGACCCTATTCTATTGCTTGATCAGAGATAGTTTAAATTCTGAGTCAAGGAATTTTGGGGGTTATCAAAAGGTAGCATTCTCCATGTTAACAAGTATAAACCTTGCCCTCCCACCCAAATAAGCTGAATGAGATGAACTGGGACAGACTCAAAAAGTATTGAATAAGACTTCCAATAACTCCTCTTCTTAATGCCCCAGGATCAGGGCATGGGTCCACAAATTGCAGCTAAGCTAACAGGAGGTCCTGTTTTCCTATAATTTAGGATTCACTACCGGAAGTGTTCTCATGAATGTTTATGAAATGGGTCCCTCAGTTCTCAGTTTTTCCCCCCAAAGCCTCTTTTTCAACTTCTTGGAAACTTATGAGTATCCATGCAAGGAAATAAGCCTTAGCTTCCCAGGAGCTGAGAAGCTAAGGGTACGAAAAGACAGCAAAGTTTTTCTGGTAGGTGAGACATGCTGACAGCCATGCTTGGGGAAATCTGCTGTGACCTCCATGTAAAAGGCAAACAAACAAAAACAAAACTGGGGACAGAACACCTGTGAGGAGATCATTATATTTGTCTAGGTGAGAGGTGTCTGAAGCCTGATCTAGAGATGACAGTGGATGGAGGAATTATTATGAAGGAAACTTTAGGACCTGGGCCTGACTACACAGGGAGCTGAGGATGCAGACATCACACAGAGGACTGTACTTTCAGAGCCTTGGCACAGGTACCTTACCCAGATTCCAAGGGCAAGGTCAACCCTCTTCTAGATCACAGTCCTTTTCATCCCAGCCTCTGGGAAGGTAAGAGAGCTCAGTCCAGGAATTTGGTCAGAAGCACTGGCTTGTTTACTAGTGAACCGCTGAAGACCCCGAGACTGGGACTTTCTAACACTTCATATTGTATAAAATTTCTGGCTTCTCTGGCAGTAGAGCCCTGGGGAAAAGCTGGCATGTAAATAAGAGAGCAGCAGTCATAATAACCAATCTTCCTGGCTGATTAAAAATTTGTGGTCATTTTTAGATGCGAAGCCACCTCAGCCACCCCTGCCTGCCCGGGACAATGTCCTCCTGACTGCTCTGCCTGTACTGTTCATTGCGTGTGCGATCCTAGTGTTATTTATGACACTAACGAAAAGGAAGAAGAAGAAGCCTGGCCCCTCTCATGAATGTGGTGAGTCAGTGCTTGTCCTCTCTGCAGAGTGCCACTTTGCAGGGACTTCCCTATCTGCTGCCTCCCGCAGCTCCTTGGTTGAGCCCAGACTGGCAAAAAGTCAACAAGAAGTTGGAAGGCAAGGTTTCCTTGCAGGATCTGGAATCTAGATGAGACTCAGCAACTGATAACATTGCTCTGGTTTTCTAGGAAAGGCACTGTTTCTAACCTATGACTTACACATATGAAAGATTATTCCTTGCTTTACCTACCTCCCTTCGTAAGGTTACTTTCAGAATCCAATGAAGTAAAATGGTGAAAACACTCATAGACCTGGTGATGTTCAAGCAGGGATGTGTGGTGGGAGGAGAGGAACATGAGATAACCATGAGATTTGCCTTCAGATATCTAAAATAGGTCTCCTGAGCAGTTAGATGAATTGTTCCTCACTGACTTTAAAAAATAATATGAACTTTCATTGATTACCAAGCATTACATATGCATTACTAAAATATACAGGGGGAGGGAGGGGTAATCACCTATAGTTTCAGTAGTGATATATGTGTGTGTGTGTGTATATATATATATATATATATATATATATATATATATATATTGCTGATAGCATTTAGTGTATATCATCCAGATACTTTTTATGTATCAATTTGTTCTTTTCCATAAGTGGGATACTATTATAAGGACTATTTTGTTTTACAATTAGGTTAATCTCACATGTTTTCTAACTTTTTTGTACTAAATGTACAAAAAATATTCAATGTCATTAAACATTATTCTATAGCATCACATTAAATAGCTGTGAGATATTCCATTATGTGGATATACGTTTATCTATTTAACCAACTCTATACCGTTGGACACTTGGATACTTTTGCTATTATAAATAGCACTGGATTCAGCAGCCTCCCATATATGTTGTAAAAGTGGCCTGTGTTTGTTTAGTGGGGAAAATGGTTCCTGAATTTAGAATAATCTCTATATATGGTTTGGGCTGGTTTGGATAAAGTTGTAAAATAAAGTTGGACTTCATCTCAGTAATTGCCTCTAGTAAAAGTTGGATTGGTGTTAATAATTAGGTAATCTTACTTATGGTAAAAAGAATAATGCTTCTGGTCAGCATCTTATTTGAAACTTCATTATTAATATATTGATTTTAAGATCCATGTAGAAAATAGATGGATGACATTATCAGTTATTTATTTCATCCCTGCTTTAAAACAGGAAATTTGAGAGTGATTATCCAATTTCCATAAATTAACACAAAGCATATGGCAGAGCAATTCAAGCTGCTAATGTAGGAAAATTCAGTACACAGGATCAGATGTTTGGATTTATCATGCTCATCCAGGCCTTGACTTTTCAAGGTCAGAGTTTTGAGCTTCTCTCTCTTTTTTTTCCAATCTCGTTGCCTTTAGAATTGGCTAAATGTGCAGAGGCAACTTTCGGTTAGGGAAGAAGCTGTGTCCTAAATTTGCTTTCACATTTGGAATGATTAGTTTACAAATGAGACAAAGAAGAAAGGATAGAGGAAAAGAGAGTAAGAATGTTTCTTCCTCCAAGAGGCAATCAGAAAAATTCAGGAGACTAGAGACGGGAGTTAAAGAGGAGGATGTGTGTGACACATGAGAGAAATTGGAAAGAGTTTTAAGAAGCTATATGTGTGCATAAAAGATGGTCAAATTGAGCTATGGGTGGTAAAAGGCAGAAGAGAGCACAGCACATATATGAACCTTTCCTCCCCTCCCCCAAGAATGTGATAAAAAGTACTGATAGGAAAACGTTGTCTGGCCAATCACTTATGCCAATGAATTTGGTAAAAGAAAAGAGCCTTGATATCACTGAAGGAAGGGAGATGTACTGAATAACTATGATGTGTAGATATGAGATGTTTATAAATTTGGGTTCCATAACTTCAGCAGTGTCTATATTTACTTTGTGAATTCCTCTCGCATTGGCTATGTGATAAACAGAATAATGCCCACAGTAAGGTATCCACCTCACATACCCCAGAATCTGTAATATTTTCTTTTACAGCAAAGAGTACTTGCATATGTGATTAGGACACTGACCTTAAGATGATGAAATTATCCTGGATTATCCAGGTGGACCCAGTCTAATCACATGAGTCAGAGAACTTTTCCCAGCTTGGTTAGAAAGATAAGATAGAAGGAGAAGAGAACGTAAGACAGACTTAACCCACCATGTCTGGCTTTAAAGATGGAGGAAGGGGCCATGAGCCAAGAAATGTAGGCAGCCTTTAGAAGCTGAGAATGGCCTTCACCTGAGAGCCAGCAAGGAAATGGAAATTTCAGTCCTACAACCACAAGGAACTAAATTCTGCCAATAGACAAACATGAAAGTAGTTGTGTTCTGTTAGAGAGAGACACAAGTTTACTAATAATCTATAGGAATTTTTCCAAAAATGGAGCTTCCTCCTAATCCAAAACTAATCCTCTTCTCAGAGGAAAACAATCCTCAAACTAACTTGTTATCAAAAGTCCTTTCCAGTGTTTGTTCATAGTTATATTGGTTTCTCCCCCCGCCCCCAAACCATACATATTTACCCTGTTTAACCTGTTAAATTAATATAAGGGACATGGCATGGTTATTCTAGCTGGTTTCCAATCTCTCTTCTCTTTTTATTTTTTATTTTTATCAAATAAGACAGATAAGGCATGAGAAAATGTCATCTTGAATTACCGCCTTTTCCAATCAAAAGCTACCTGTCAGCTCACCCTCTCAGGAGAAAGACTAAAAAAACTCCTCCTGGAATTTTGCTTCCTTGTTTTGTGTGACTGACATCTATATGTAATAGTGCCATAGCAACCAACAGTTGTGCTTTTTTTCCTTGTTTTTTTTTTTTTTTGTTTTGTTTTGTTTTTTTTTCCAACTTGCCTTCTTCCACCAAATCTGAGTCTTGGGTTTTCCAGGAATGATCTCTTAAAGGGCAAGTATTTTCTTCAAAATAAAACATTTCAACCACCGTTTAAGCAGAAACCTTTACAGGTTTCTGAAAGTTGGTGATATCATCATATCTGCCCTTCAAAATGCTAAATTTATAACCAAACCTAACAGGTTAGAAATCTATCTTTATTATCTGCTTTCACTTTAAAATAGAAGTGTGTGTGTGTGTGTGTGTGTGTGTGTGTGTGTGTGTGTGTGTTTAGTGGTGATGATTTTTGTCACGGACATAAAAGGATAATTTAATTATTCTGGATTGGTCTATAGACATTTGAAATACTCCTTTCAACTGTAAGCACCATTATTTTCAAGAGGAATGTTTACATATATAGAACCTAACCAGCTTTATTTTGTCTGGAAACTAAGTCAAATAAGACACAGCTCTGATGGTAGGGGAAACCCTGATATCAAAACTAAAAAGAAAAATTACAAGAAAACTACACATATCTCTTATGAACATAAATATCAAAATACTTAACAAAATTAACAACTAAAATCTAACAATATTGTAAAAGTATGATACATCGTGATCAAATGGGGTTTATTCCAGGAACATAGATAGGTTTAACATACAAAAACCAAACACTAAAATCCACCATATTGACAAACTGGAAAGAATAACCATGAGATCATGTCATTGGATACAGATAAAACATTTGGCCAAATTAATATCCATTCATGATTTTAAAAAAGGAAGAACAGTAGGAATAGGGAGGAACTTCCTCAACCTGACAAAGGACATCTACCAAAACCTTTAATTTAACATCATATTTAATGACAAAAGACTGATTGCTTTGTCCCTAAGATCAAGAATAAAGCAAAATGTTCACTCTCACGATTTTTGCTCAACATTGTACTGGAGGTCCTAGCCAGTGCAACAAGTCTAGAAAAAGAAACAAAGACATACATAGTTGGAAAGGAAGAAGCAAAGCTCTCTTTTTTGCAGATAACATGCTCATGTTTATAGAAAAGCCTAAGGAATCCATTAAGAGCTATTAGAACTAATTGAATGTAGCAAAGTCACACGATATATAGTCAACACACAAAATAAATTGTATGTTTTTTTACAAAAAACAATTAGACACTGGACAAAATTTAAATGCCATTTACAGTGACATCAAATAATATTAAAGGTTTGGGAATAAAATTTTAAGAACAAATTCAAGACCTGTATACTAAAAACTAAAAAAAAATTATAACCCACAAAAATTTTAATTACCCAAGTAAATGGAGAAATATGCCAAGTTTATGGATCAAAAGACTAGATTTTAAGATACCAATTCTCCCCAAATTGATTTATGGTTTTAATGCAATACCAATCAAAGTCCTTGCAAGCTATTTAGTGGAAACTCAAAACCTGATTCTAAATGTCATATGGAAATGCAAAAGACTTATAATTGCTAAAAGAATTCTGAAAAATAAGGAAACAGAGGACTTATACTACCTAATTTTAAGGTTTACTATACAGTGATAATAATCAAGGCAGCATGATATTGCTGAAAGTACAGACACATCAGTCAATGGACCAAAATGGAAAGTCCAAAAATAAATTCACATGGTCAACTGATTTGACAAATGTGTGAAAATGATTTCATGCAAAAAGGATAGTTTTTCAACAGATGGTATTAGGCAATTAGATATCCACATGGAAAAATATGAACCTAGGCACACACAAAAATAACTTGAAGTGAATTATGTATCTAAATATAAGAGCTAAAATTAAAAGACTTTGGAAAGAAAACAAGAAGAAATCTTTGTGACCTTACCTTAGCCAAATCTTAGAGAAACACAATAAACACAAATTGATAAACTGAAATTCATGAAAATTAACAACTTTATCCTTTGACTTTATTAAGAAAATGAAAAGTCAAGCCACAGACTGGTAGAAAATATTGCAAAAATGTGTATCTGGTAAAGGGCTTATATCCAGAATATATGATTATGTATTACTACTAGGTGATAAGAAAAAAAAATCCACTTAAAAGGCAAGGAGCAAAAGACTTGAACAGATGTTTAACAGAAGAAAGAATATAAATGACCAATAAACATAGTCACACAGTCACAACACCATTAATCATTAGGGATATACACGTTAAAGGCATAACAAGATACCATTACACACCCACTACATGACAAAGATTAAAAAGATTAATCAATACCAAGTTTTGAAGAGGATGTGAAACAACTGAAATCCTGACGCACAGTCCTGCAATTCTAGGTATTTACCCATCTATATAATAAAAGTCTAAGTGACTGTTACTGCGGAATGACTGAAACAACCAGTTGCTTTGATGCGTACTGACCACCAGGGGCAGATGCTCAATGCAGGAGCTGCTCCTTGGTGGTCAGTGAGCTCCCACAGGGGGAGTGATAGCTCAGCCAGAAGCTAGGCTCATGGCTGGTGAGTGCAGGGCAGTGGTGGTAGCCTCTTCCACCTTCACAGCAGAGCTAAGGAGCAGTGGGCCAAGCATAAGGAGAGAGGGATCCTGGATTGCGAGAGAAATAATCCAGAGGGATCAGGCCTAAGCCAACAGTCAGACATCCCATGAGGAGTCCGGGACTGTGATGGGGTGCAGGCTGGGTTGAGGAGATCATCCCTCCAAAGTGTACAGATTTCATGCACCAGGCCTCTAGTGAGAAATAAAAACCATATCTGCACAGATGTTTACAGCAGCCTATGGTACTAAAAACATGGCATCCCGAATTTTTATCAATTGGTGAATGAATAAACTAATAGTGGTATAGTAATGGCAACATGCCACAACTAAGATGAATTTCAAAAGCATTATCTATGCTAAATGAAGGACTCCAGACACTAAAACACTACACATTATATGATCTTACTTACATGAAATTAAGCAAAACTCTTGTAACATTAAACAGATCAGTGGTTACCAGGGAATAGGGTGGGGGAAAGGGGCAGCAGGGAATTTTGAAGGCTTATATAAATGTTCTATATCTTGGTTATGGTGGTAATTATATGACTGCATACATTTGTTAAACTCACCAAAATCTATATGAAAAATGACTGGGTTTTGTATATTAATCTTCCTATATAATAAACGGCTATTATGCAAATCAACCAAATGGTGGAAAGACTGGTCACTATGATGTGCACTGACCACAGGGGGCAGATGCTCAACACAGGAGCTGATCCCTGGTGGTCAGTGCGCCCCCAAAGGGGGCACACCGCACTCAGCCAGAAGCCGGGCTCACAAGTGGTGAGCATAGTGGCAGTGGTAGGAACCTCTCCCACCTCCACTGCAGGCAGGTGGTGAGGAGCGAGGGGTCCCAGACTGCAAGAGCCCCAGACTACAGGAGAGATGTCTGACTGCTGGCTTAGGCCCTATCCCCTGAGGCATCCAGGACTGTGAGAGTGTGCAGGCCCAGCTGATGGACACCCTCTCCAGTGCATGAATCTCATACACCAGGCTTCTAGTACCTCAATAAAGCTGGTTATTTTTTAACACACACATGTGCATTCACAGACATACACACACACACACACACACACACACACACACACACACACACTCACTCACGAGCGTGCGCTCCTGTGTTTGCATGAACTGCCCATGATAGAAAGTATTCAAAACCATCAGGGGAGCTGTTGAGAAAATCGCCCTGGTCCCTAAGTTCCTCTGTGGTCACCCAGGTTAACAACCCCTGCTGTAAGGCTCCAAGTGGGACAATAGCACTGTCACAACCTAGAGGACTTTACACCCCAAGTTGCATCAGAAGTAAGTCTATTCCAGTAGCAACTCACGCTTTGGGAGATCTAGCCAGCTGGAGATTTCTCAGGTGGGTCTATCCATGCAATATTGTGTAGTTGGTAGTATCAGCTGGCTAATCCACTTCAGCATCAACATCTTCAAGATTTCCTTTTCCTCCCAAGTCTTATTTTCAGAAAAGGATTAGAAATTCTTGTCTGATCACTAAATGATTGCTAAAACTAAATGTGTTCCCCGCTCCCACTAGTATTTTTATTTTAGCAAAGACTAGATTTGTAAGTGAAAATCCTATTTCCAACATTAGAACTGAAGGCACAGTGGGCAAGTAAAGGCATTTACTTTTTGGATGCAAGGAGCTCCTTCTCAGGCCCCCTGAAATTGCATCAATTATTTCACACTTAAGACTACAAGGACTTTTCTCTGAGTCCTAGGACTTTGGAGTCCCTTCAAACTTTCCCTTTTTTAGGGAAATGAATGGGCAATTCATTTTCTGAGATTGTTTTGCTCTCTTTCAGAAGTCATCAGAGCAGAAGGGGAAGAAAGTGAACAAGCCAATGAAAGGTGAGCCCAGACCCTACAACATTGTTGAAAGAGGTCTGATTCCCAGAGGGTCTATAACTTGAATAGACTTATGTCTGAGGCATGTTGAGACCGCAACAAACATGAACTAATGGAGAGGGAAAGGAAAGCGAAACCAATAGGACCAGGAGGAAAATGTCCTAGATGTCAATGGATGGCAGGGAGTCCAATGCACAATGCTCAGTCATGGCCAAGTAAGCAATCAATACCAAAGGGGCCTGATGCGGGGAGCATGGGCTGCATTTTATTCACCACGGTAACCACAGTACTAGTGGATTTCCTACATGTGTGGAACGAATACCTGAATAAATGAGGAATGATAATATGTTCCATTTAGCTTCTGTGTCTTTGAATCTGCTGTGCCTTCTGCTTGGAATATTCTTCTGCCTCTTCTTCATCTCACTCTTCAGATCTTGATTCAAACAGCACTTTCTTAAAAACCCATCCCAAACTAGATTATGCCAGCCCATTATAGTGTCATGTGGATACCTATCCCTTTTCTTTATAAGGAAACATTATTTACTATTATTAAACTCTAAAAATTGAACTCATCTAGACTCTGTCGAATGCAGGATTCATATTAGTTAAACTAATCATTGTGCTGCTAGCAACCAGCATAGTGCCTGGCATATAGTAGGTGCTTAATAAGTATTTGTTGAAAACTTGAATGAGTACATGAAGGAATGCATGAAGATTCCTGGTGATCAGTCCTTTCACAACATGATATAATTGGATTGCCCATACCTCCATCCCTCCTGAGGAACTGAGCTTGTCAAGAATATTAAAAAAGAAAAAGAAAAAAAAGAATATCAAGACTCTGGCTGCATGTCTGTGGGCTCAAAGCAAACCTCAGTGAAGAGCCTGGTCACAGAGACACAGCTAGGACCCAAGGGCACATATTCCAGCCACTGTGAGTCTAGGGATCCTGGATGGTGAGCCAGAGTCCTGAGATCTTGCCTTCCCTGTCAGACTTAGTTCAGAAATGGTCCAGAGGAGCCTATAGAGGGAAGGTGGCAGGGACTCAGGCTAGGGCAGGGGCAGGCCCAGACAAAAATATAGGGTAGCTACTGAGAAAAGTGTGGGTGACACGTCACATCTCTCTTCAATAGTTTGTTCTTCCTCGTTGTTATTGCAATGCCCCCTATATTTGGCCTTCTCATTGAAATCTAGAAAAGGAAATGGCTCCACTGTGAAATCTGACCAAATTCTTTTTTTCTGTTTCTCCAGAGTAGAAAACCGTACACCTGAAAGATCTAATGAAGCCCAGTGTGTTGTCAACATTTCAAAGACAGACCCAGGTGACAAAAGTGCTGCACATTTTTAATTAAAGAGTAATGTCCATTTGACTATTTTTTAAATATGTGGGTTGTTCCTCTTTCTTTTTCCCTTTTTAAATTAAATGTATTGGAATTACATTGGTTAAGATTATGTGGGTCTCAAGTGTACAAATTCTATGATACATATGCTTTCCTTTACAAGTTTTGGGGTGACTTTTTTTTTTTTGTCTCTCTAAACCTTCCCAGTTTAGAAAATATTACCATTAATAATAGTGGAGGCTCTAGGCCTCCCTCTAAATGAAATAGCCTCCTTATAATGCCAGTTCTGCTCCCTATGCCAGGAGCAGATTTTATCTGCTTCTTTTCAGAGCACACGGATTGGATCCTAATGTTTAGGACTAATGCCTTCTGTGTCAGAGTTGGTCTCTTTTCTTAATTTTACAAACTGTGCTTTCTGTAGAACTCCCACTTCCTAGAATAGTGACTTTTATCTACTCTGAATTCTAAGGTAATGCCACAAGCTATCTTGTATACTTATGACTGAACACCTACCTTCTCAGTCTGAGAGGGAGCTATATATTTTATGTCTTCGAAGTGTTAATATTAACATTTTGAAATATAAAAAAAGTACTCTACTAATGTAGTAATTATGATGCCTTGAGAAATGTCCACCCTTTGCCAAGGAGTTGTTGTTCTTCTCTGATGATCAGTAAGGAAAGCAGACAAACTCAAAATTTGGGAGACTAAGTGAGTCGGAGATGGCAGCACCATGGATCCTGGAGTCATTTCTAAATGGGCTGTTGCTAACACCAAGGAAGACCTATGTGCCCTACAAGCTATTGATAAGCCTTAGGAGAGAACGCTGGATAAAGCAGGACAGTGCCATGCTTCATGAACCCTACTTCTCTTCTAGAAAATACTGACTGAGATTGTGGCCTAGGCAACCGTGCAAAAGCCAACAGAGAGATCACAATACTCAAAAGAGAGGGGGGGGGGTGGGAGAAGATCTTGACCAACAGAGATGCACATGAATGTTCGTCTATCCAGTCCTTCAACAAGCCTTGGGAACAAGCAACAGATGAACAGTTTGTCCAAATGGACTTAAGACAGACAGTAGTTTTCTGGGTGATCAGTGGAGGGTTTTGATGATACCACGTGGTTGTGATGTTTTACCTGACTGAAAGCAGAGCTTGGGGTAGAGAGCTATCATCTTGATCATGGGGTAAATGGAAGGAGACTTGAAACGTTTCCAACTAATGGCGGAGAGACAAAGAGCTGGAATAAAATTAGTTTGACCAGCATGCAAATCATCCGGAAGTTGACTTAGCCCACAGATGCCTTAAGAACATATTGGCTAGCCCAGAGCAATGCTGGTGAACTTGTGTCTGAGGACTATGAGCATCATTTTCAACAATAAGTAAACTGGGTGCAAGAGAAAAATATACCAACCCAGTAGGAATAAGTTGAGAGAACCTGGCTCTAAAGCAACATCAGTAAAGGATGGAGCAGCTTCAGTTCGAACCTGAAGAGGACTATGGGAGGCCCATGCTATAGAAATGGTTCTGTAGACCCTAGAGGGTTATAGACAGCTATGCTAACCGTGCTTGTCCTTATGAAATTGTCATTTGTGTGCTCTACCCTGCTCCTGCCTTCTTTAGATTCTCAGCATCTTGTTTAGAGTTTTGTACAGAGCAGCTCTCAGTAAATTTTCATTAAACTGATGTAAAAATTTATGTTTGGCTTCCGGAGTATTACTCAACCCTTGTAGTCTGATGCTCTGCCCTATACTTCTTTCCTCTTGACATCTCTGTGGTAGCTCCATTCTCCAGTCACCCTAGCTAGAAGCCTCTGACTCACCCCAAACCTCCTCCTCTTCCCTTTCCCCTAACCATTGTATGAGAAAGAGGCATGAATATAATTCTATATGTTAATCTCAGTAATAAGACATAAAAATTAGTTAAGACAGGTTGTTTCTGAAGGCAACTGGAAAATTTAGAGTGAAAAAAGGGATACTTGCTTTTCAGTTTATAAACTTTCATACTGTATAATTTTAAAATTATGTGCTTATATATACACTAAACAAAGGCTAATGTAAAAGTATTTCTAAAAAATACACTATTATAAAATAAATTCATATAACTGTACTCTATGTTTGAAAGTTGCTAAGAGAGTAGATCTGAAAAATTCTCATCAGAAGAAAAAATAATTTGTAACCATGTATGGTGATAGATGTTAATTAAACTTATAGTGGTAACCATTTCACAGTATGTAAATATATCAAGTCATTATGTTGTAAACCTAAAACTAATACATTATATGTCGATTATATCTCAATTAAAAATAAATAAATAAATGTAGGGAAATTCTGGGGAAAAACTATCTAGGCTCTCTGAGAGCAGGGATGTGATTTAACTTCTTCACCAACAAATCCCAGGAAACTAATATAGAATCTCAAAACTATTTATTTAACTATTAAATGGAACATTAAGTATTAATGCTTCATTCAATATTAATATCTGGTAAAAAAAACAGAACAAAACAAAACAAAAAACCATCCCTCCTTTGTATACTAACTTTTCTAGATCTTCTGTGTTCCAAGTCTGGGGAAAAGAAAGCCAAGAAAGGTTAAAAGAGTCTCACCTTGTAGCAGAGACTCCTCTAAACCTTTAAATGTGTTATCCCACTTGTTCCTCATAATGACCCTGTGATTTCATTATTGGAATATGATGCCCATTTTGCTGATAAGGAAACTTAGGCACATAGTGGTCAAAGCAATTTATCCAAGGTCTCCAACTTAGTAAGTGGCGGAGCTGGGGAAACTTTTTAAAAGCATAACACCCCCACCCACCCCGAATCCCTTTATTTCCCAGCCCATGTTTTCTGGCCATAGAAGAGACAGCAGGTGAGTGCTCACACATCACATCTTTCGATACACTAACTGAGTCACCCAAGATGGTGCTGCAAAGAACCCACCATTGATTTTCCAGAAACCATTCATCATCATCTCATAAGGCATATGATGTGGGCAGTGAAAATGAGTTTTTGGTCAGGAGGGAAGTGAAATATACTCCTGCCACTTATTCTTTTGCAATTCACCCTCCTCCCTCCACCATTCTGAAGCCAGTTTCATCCACTCAGTGCCTTCACGTGTTAACCCACGCTAGAAAGCACAGAGTCATCCCTGACTACTGTCCTGTGACCTTTCCCTCAACACCCACTGCCCACCTCTACTGTATTTGGTCATAACCAGGTCAGGCAAGGTCCCTCCAGCTTCAGCACCCACCCCTTCTTTCCTCAGCCAGGCTCTTATTTCTAAGAAGTGACAATCAAAACCAAACTGACCCCAGTCTACTCTCTCTTTTATCCTGGATTTTGTTCAAAACATCAAAAGGCACAAGGGGGGGGGGGGGGGGCGGCAGGGGGAGAGTAAGAGATCAACCAAAGGACTTGTACGCATGCATATAAGTATAACCAATGGACACAGACACTAGTGGGATGATGGCATGTGCTGGGGGTTGGGCGTGGACAGGGAGAGGTCAATGGGGAAAAAGGAGACATACGTAATACTATTGTAATACTTTAAATAATAAAATAAAAAATTTAGAAAGGGAACAAGGAGATGGAGAAAAGATCTCTCTCACATTCTTTTTTTTTTCTAACCACACAGAAGCAAGTTTAATCTCCAGCTTCTTATGTATCCTTCCACACATCATATATATATATATATATATATATATATATATATATATATATATATATATATATATATATATATATGATGTGTGTATGTGAGTCTATGAGTATATATAGTGCATGTATACATAAATATACACACATATATGTGCATATATTTATTTTATCTATATGTGTTCCACATGTTTCATATATATAGTTCAGTCAGATTTGGTTTTATTCTACACCTAAACAGCCAACATAAACATAAGGCTCTTGTTAAGAAGATTACAAACATACTTCTTTATTGTATCTGTTTGCAGTCTCATCCATATACCAGCATTCTTATGGAACTTATAATAAAAGTGAGGTTCCATTGGCTTTCATCATCGCCACCAGTGTACTCCAGGAGGGAAAATACAAGCATATACAAAGTCCTGTACTGTCCTTAGACACAAAATTTTGAACATGCTCCAATCATAACAAATTATACACTAGGTCTGGTGGATTAGTCATTCTGAACTGGATTTCCTATTTCCTGCATTTCATATATTTGTCTTTCTTGACTTACTTCTTCACTTCAGTTGTACATATCCACTAGTAGCTTTTTGAAAAAGAATATGTGAGAAGTAAATTTAATGAGATTTTGTGTATCTGAAAATATCTTTATCCTTCTCTCCTACTTAATTGACCATTTGTAACAAACAAGTGTAACATAAAGATTAGAGTGCCAGGACTTTTTAAGTGTTTTTATTATGAAAAGATGTATTTTTAAATTATATACAAACTTATTTCAGATATAGAATTTGGAGTTAGAAATATATATATATATATATATATATATATATATATATATATATTATATATATATATATATTTTTTTTTTTTTTTTTTTTTTTTTTTTTTTTTTACAGAGAGGAAGGGAGAGAGATAGAGAGTTAGAAACATCAGTGAGAGAGAAACTAGCAATGAGGTACTTTCTATCTGAAAACAAACATCCTTTACTCTAGGGAAATTTCTTGAATTGTTTCATTGATTTTTCCCTCTCTATTTCTCTAATCTGTCATTCTAGGATATTGGATTTCAGTGTGGGCTCTTCCAGGTTGATCTTCTTATTTTCTTATCTTTCTGTCCTCTTCCATCTTTTTGTCTTTTGCTCTGTTTCTTAAAGATTTCCATAATTTTATCTTCCAAACTTTCTGTTGTATTTTAAATATTTCTGCTATCAAATATTCATTTCCAATAGCTCCTTTTTGTTCTCTGAATATTTCTTTCTCTAAGGAGCCTATTCTTAATTGTTTCTGTATAATTTTTTAACTTTCTGAAGATGTTGGTAGGTTTTTAAGTGTTATTTTTTCTGTATTGTCTCTGTATCCTCCAAGTTTTTCCTTCCTATTTGGTTGCCTTGGTCTATAGAAACTATGTTGGAGGCTTCTTGTGATTATAAGACTTAATAAAACATACATACCTCATTAGATGTCTGATTATCTTTGATTGTCTATTCATGAGTAAAAGTGAGAAACTAGAAATTTGTTTGGAGGATCTGAGTCTATGGATTGGCTTATTAACTTTAGCTTTATTATAAAAGAATCTGGTGAGCCTTTTTTAGGAAACCATCTCTAAAAGGCCTTTTCTGTTGGGCTGGTAGCTTTGTAGTATTTTGCCTGGAAGGTAGAAGTCTGGCTGCCAGCATTTTGGGAACCAAATGAGAGAAGAGAAGAGGTTTGTGTTTGTATGTGTTCCTCCTGATCCTGGCACCAATCATACTATTTCCTATTGGTATACACACAAGAACAATAATCTACACTAATAAAAGAGAAAGATGCAAATTGACCGTACCTTCGCAACACTCACCAGCCAATCAGGAGTATACAAATTAACCCAACACAGATGGCAGGTTAATTTGCATACACAGGCGACAAGCAGCTGGGGGCGGGATGCTTGCAACATTGCCATGGCAACAATGCAGGCAATTGGCACCGCCCCAGCGGCTCCAGGCCTCTAGGCAGCTTGGGAGGGTGGAAAGGCAGCTCCAGGCCGGAGCAAAGGCGGTGCCTGCAGCCTGGGGAAGGAGGGCCCTTTCTTTGTGCATCGAGCCTCTAGTGTATTTTTATAAACAAGTGTAACATAAAGGTTAGAGTGCCCAGTACTTTTTCTGAAAAGATGCCTTTTTAAAATATTCACAAACTTATTTCAGAAAGTATGTCTCTTGCCTGACAGTGGTACCAGCTCAGTGCTACTCATAGCATATGGCAAAGTGGCTTCTTCCCAAAATCTAATTGTATATCATTGTTCTGAGATTAAAAGCTG